TTTTTTTTTTTTTTTTTTTTTTTTTTTTTTTTTTTTTTTGCTTGTTTTACACTTCCTGCTGGATTTAGATGGATCTGAGTTTGTAGGTGCTCCATCCTGGCTAAAACAAAAGAGATCTGTGGATGAGAATGGTGATGATGATGACATGAAGATTGCTCTGCTTACTATCCTGAGCACTTCATATGTGCTGACTCCTTAGTCTTCAGTGACTCAAACTGTATCGTTTTCACTTTGCAGAGCAGAAAATAAGATCATTCATACAACTCACACAGTGACTGACAGAGCCACAATTTGTGCCCAGAGTCCGCACTCATGACTATTTCTTGGCATGTATTGTCCAACATAACGTGGCTTGCTAATTAAGTGCTTTTCCTGATGAATCCACTATGCAAGTCAACTTGGAAGCATAGTGTTTCAGAATACCAGCGTTCTTTCAGTGAGTATTGCTGGCAGGTGGGAAAATGTGAAACATAGCTTTCATGATCTGATGTATAAATAGGATCCATTCTTATTTGCCTCAAGAATATTCTTTAAACACTCTTTTAAAAATATACTTTTGCACTCTCTTTCAGCACATACTAAAGGCTGAGTAGGAAAAAAGAGATCTCTGAGGATCTTTTCCGACGTTTGACTCTTTTGTTGTTAGTTCTGAAGAGGTGGTGGCAAGTGACTGCTGCAATGCAAACAGTTATCATTACTGAGCACTGATTACATAATAAGCATTGTACCCCTATTTCACCAGCTTCCTCTCCTGTTAAGCTTGGGATCTAAAATATCTCCCAGAGGCTCACTGTGTTGAAGACTTGCTTGTCAGCTGATGACCTTTGGGGAAGTGATTGATCGTAGGGGTTCTCTCACCCTTTCTACTTCCTTCCTGGCTGCCGTGAAGTGACCAGCTCTTCTCTATGTGGTCTTCTGCCGTGATGTTTCTGCCTTGCTTGGTACTGCTATAAATGCCTTGGGCCCAGCTGACCGTAGATTGAAACTGACCCAAAATAAACCTTTTCTCTTTAAGCCGTTTTTCTCAGGTATTTTGTCACAGTGATGGAAAGCTGACTGACACTTCTCCCTGACTTTGATCTGACTGATACAATTTTCCCACTTCTGAGCAAAAATACAGGACACCAGCAACTTAAAGTAGGAGATATTTATTTTAGCTCAGTTTAAGAGGTTTTGGTCCATGGTTTTCTGGCTCCAAGGCTGAAACATCAAGGCAGAAGGGAGTGGTGAAACAAAACTGCTCACCTCAGGCAGCCAGGAAGCAGAACGCAGGAAAGAGCACACTCCAAAGTCACTTTCTTGTCCCTGAGCATGATCTGCACACCTGCAACATGAAAGTGAATAGGTTTACTTTGCTCACATTTTCAATCTATGGCCAAATGTCTCCAGGGCAGAAACATAGTGGAAGAAAATATTAAATCATGGTGTCCATGAAACAGAGAGAGAAGGGAGGAGCTGGGGAAAATATACACATCCAGGTCACACTCTGAGTGACTCATCTCTAACCATGCCCCACCTCCTAACAGCAAGGCAGCTATAGTATTCCCATGATCCAATCACCCCTGCACACTTGACTATTTTGGGGAATATTCTAGATCTGCAGCTATCCCACAGAAAATTCATGTCCATCTCGTGATGGAAAATGCATTTAGTCCATCTCTAAGAGTCATCAAAGTTTTAACAGTTCCAGCACTGTTAAAAAGTCCAAGTCCAAAGTCTCCTCTGAGACTCAGGCAAACTCCTAGTTGTGAGTCCCTGTAAAAATATAAAAGAAAGTTAAATATTTTTTTTAAATACACAATGGCACAGAGTAAACATTCCAAAAGGGATGAATAGAGGGATAGAAAGAAACACGACCAAAGCAAGACCAAAGCTTAGCAGAGTTAACATTAAATCCTGTAGTTCTATGCCCGGCACCTGGGGCAAGCTGTGGTGAGATGTGAGCTCCAAAAGGCTTGGGTGGCCTCACCCCTGTGGCATCACCAGTGGCAGCCCTCATGCTCTGACTCTTGGGTTGACTCTGCTCACTGCCTTCAGCTTTTCTTAGCAGACATTCTATGTTCCTGCCATCTCCAGCTACGCTTTCAGCTTTACTCTCACAGCTTCACACACTGCCCTGCTAGGGGCACCCTGCCTGGCCTACCAGACCTCCTTCTGATATCTGGTTGGAAGCCTCTGTGACCTCACAACTCTTGCATTCTGCATGCCTGAGAAACCAGCCTCATATGGATGATGCCAAAGTATGTCACCAACTTTCATTACACACTCAGATCTCAGATTGCTGCTTCAAGTGCCTAGATGGCTGAGCACTGTGAAACAAACCTGGGGTGCCAATTCCCTGGGCAACCTTTCTCAAACAGCGTACCCTGGGGCTCTCTTCTTAAAGCAAAATCTTTTAAAGTTTACTTTTATCCTTTTATACCCTTGAGCTTAGGAAGGGTAGGGTCTCATTGATTCCTGAGATGCCCTAAATGCATCTGTGATAGTTAACTGGTTGTGAAAACATGAGTAAGAAACACCCAGTTAAATTGGCTCAGCATAGTTCTAGATGGGGAAGACCCACCCTAAGGAGGATTGTCACCAGAATGGTATAAAAGGGAAATGAAGAAGGAAGGATTGATGATTGCTTCTGTTTCTTTGGAAGAGTTCCAGTCTTTGCTTCCATTTTGGATGTTATCTCCTGGCTTCCAGCACAGACCCGTCAGCTTTCCATTGCAGACTCTTTGGCCTCCTGATACAGACTCACACAGGACACTACACTGAGCTCCAGTCCTTTGACTGTATCCTTTGGATCTCCAGAAGGCAGATAGACATTTTGCATGCTTCTACATCTGACTCTGTGGGTGGCCAGTGTAAGAAAATCTTGTAAACTCTTACATATGTGTATATCTTGCATTAAATGTTTCTCTACTAAGCACTGACTGATAGAGCATCTTTCCTATTATCTTGATGAAAAATATTTAGCTTCTTTTTAAGGGTTATCTTTTTAGCCTCTATTCTGTCCTTTGCTCCAACTTTGTTCCTTTCTGGGAAAATGGAAAACTTTTTAACTGGGCTTTTTGCTCCCGATTCTCACTGTACCTGAAAGCAGCAAGAAGTACTCATGCAACAGCTGCTACCTTGAAGTTTCTTCATCAGATTAATTGGTCCATTCCCCTTATTCTCAGTCTTCCACAGATCTCAGGATGTGGGGAAAATATAGACAATTTTTTGACAAAGTATAACACAAATGGCTATTAGCCCAACTGCCAATGGTGTCCTGTAACCAACTGAAATATCCTGAACTTGTTCTTTACTATCTGCATTTCTTTTAGCATTCTTTTGATCTCTGAACAGAAGCTCTCATTAAGATTAGCTTACAGCATTGTAGGGCCTCTCTAGCAAGCATGTTCGAATCCTTCTAAATTTTTCTTGCACAACAAAAGTTTCTGAATTACATGGTCAGGGATAGTCATGGCAACAACCCAACTCTCAGTATCAAAATCTGTCTTAGTCACTTTCTTGTCCTTGAGACACAATATCTGACACCTGCAATTTAAAGAATGAGAAGTTATTTTATCCATGGTCGCCAAGCTCCAAGGTAGAGCTGGCATGGCAGAGGGTCCTAGAGAGGGAAAGCTGTTTTTAATCATGGTGGCAAGGAAACAGAGAGAAGGGAAGAGCTTGGGACAAGAATACACCCTTTCCGATTATACTCTCAGTGACTCACCTCTAACCAGGCCCTGTGTCCAAAGAGCAAGTCAACTATGGTGCCCCTATGATCTATTTGCCCTTTGTACGTATGAGAATTTTGGGAGACATTCTAGATCCAAACCCTGTGGAGAAGTTTACTTTAGCTTATAGTTTGAAAGGTTTGTGTCTACAGCTAGCTGACTCCAAGGCCAAAACATCAAGGCAGAAGGGCATAGAGGAGCAAAGCTGCTCACCTCATGGCAGCCAGGAAGCAGTGCACAAGCAGAGTATTAGTGAGAAATGCATACCCTTAAGGGGACACCACCTGTTCTCTGTCCTCCAGGGGGCCCCATGTCCTAACAGCATATTCAGGTATGAACATCAGTGGATTACACCACTGAAGACGATCGCTTCTGCATAATCCAATCACTTCTCCAGGAGACTCTAAATCTGGTCATGTTGGCAGTTAAGCTTAATCATTACAGACAGGTGTTATAACCCCAATTTTATATATGAAATGACCAAGGCACAAGTTAAATTATTTTCTTTCTCAAAACAAGCAAGTGGTAATCTTTGTATTTTAATTTGGGTCAGCAAGACTTCTCTTGCTCTTAACCCCTACTGTAGACATGGAAGCACTTAGTGACATTTATCTGGATCAGAATGTGGAAACTGCTACTTAATTCTCTACTGAAATCAAGGGGTTTGCAATCCTTTGTAGTGTATCAGCTGGGCTGGGCTGAACTGCTTTTTCCACAATTTACATTTTATATATGTCTGATGATAGGGGAACCACAAAGAAAATTCCTTGGAAATTTGGAGGACAGAAGGGAAGCAAGAGCCATCTTTTAGCTTACACATTGCTGTTGATGGGTTGAGTCACTTTGTGGTTGGTGTGAAGCAGCAACTGAGTCTACAATTGCTCTATTTTCCTTGGTTCCTCCTTCCATTTCTTTGATTCTTGGGCCAGATTTATGTTTAGTTTTGTAACAAAGTGCCCTGACTTTTGTACAGCACTGAGACCAGTCACAGGTTTCCTTCTACCTCTGGGTGATTCCAGCTTATGCCTATGGTTTCCAGCCTATTCTTGATATCCTTTATGTCCCTCTTCTCTTTATGATTGCCTGCCTGAAGATATCAGGCTGTTGCAATCAGACGCGGAGACAACTTTACTGAGACTGCTTATCCAGCTCCCACAAGGATAATTCCCTGCAACAACCCCTATGTGCTCTGCTCCTTTGGTTGGATCTTGATTGATATGGTCCCGAAGGTCGTCTCTACCATCTCTACATGGTTCATACCTCAGCATCAAGACTACTATTTAAGGTATAGTGCTTCACTTTCTGTAATAATGTTATTTGACTCTTGCCTATGAGATAAACAAGGTAGACACCCTGTCTCATTGTATAGAAGAGGAAGCTAGGAAGGTCCTGTGAGGTTTGATGACTTGGTAACACAGAATTAGGATCTAGTCCATTGGATTTCAGTTAGGTAGCTTCAATTTATTCTGAAATTCAATAGCATGACTCTCTAAACTCATTTACATGCAAGTGGATGTTGAATCTTCAGGCCAAGGTCAACCTTCTTTGTGTATAGTTTCAGTTGAAATTACTCAATGGAAATGAAATATAATGAAGCTTGATTTTGCATATCTTTCTCTTTGTGCTTGAAAATACCTCTTTAGTGTTTGCTTCAGGGTTCATTCATAATATGATTCCCATTTTGTTGTCTTGTGCAGTCCAACATGTTAGTCTCTGGTACGAGGGGTCCTCATTTTGTGCTTGTCATACTGACCAGTCATTTTGGAAGAAGCGGACCAATGTGAAGAAAGTCAACATAAAAATCTTTTGGTGGCTCATAATTTAGAGTTGACTTATTTACCTAAGAATGACAAAAAATACATAAGACCAGCCCCAGCAAATCAGCAACTTAGAAAGACACTCTCAGAAAGGGTAGGAGGATCCTGGAGATGGAGCTCAGTGCAAAGACCCTTGGTTCAATCCTCAATAACACACACATGCATGCACACACACACAGCTATAATGAGAGGGAATGATGTAGGTGCAAAAGCCTCCCTCATGGGGCTGCAGAAACCATCCTCACTACTCACAGAAAGTCCCAATCACCTGTTTCTGGGAGAAAGTGAACAGGAAAAGAATGGGTGAAGCCACATTGAAGTTCTGGTGGGAAGAAAGAGAAGAAGAGGAGGGATATTTTAAACAGCCTTCAAGCTTAAACTATTCAGTAGATCATTCACTGATAACAGTCCTCCTTGAAGTTTTAAAAATGGAAATGAGAGTGATATGGGGTCAGGACCACTGTGAGTGTGATTTGCCCTAGCACTGATCCTTTAGCCTTGACTTAACTCTCCCAAGTTAGAGTCAAATGCAAATGAATTGAAAAATAGGCTAAAGCAATGATTTTGAAAATGTGGGATCTAGCTCTCTTTGCCTCCTTGGTTCTGTTCCCTCCTCCTCTTTTCCCCTTGTTTGCTCAGCCGTCTTTGGGAGATGCAGGTCCTGCCACATGACCTCAGCCATCACACACCCTGACCTTGAGTCAGAGTCCAGCTTAGATAGCCTGGTGGTTCTCATTTATTAGCAATGACAGTTTTCTAGTGCTGGTATAAAGCTTATCTGCTTAAGTTATTTCTCAATATCAAGTCACAGTAGAAAAACAGAAATCCCCCTGCCTAACACAGGTAGGATTACACTTGGGAAAGTTGATGACTTAAGCAAAGATTTTCCACCTACAGCAAAGTGATTGATAGCTTATCCATCTGTACATAAAACGAGCATTTAAATCCTGGTGTGAGAGGGTCTTATCACCTGCAGCTTCCAAATAACTGCATATTTTCCCCCAAAGTAAAATGTGAAAGAATGACAATGACTTCTCAGTTAGCTTTTTATTTTTCTCCTGTTCATAACCTGTAGAGCTTCTCACCTGTTTCTTTGATTGTTCTTCGTGGCTCTGTGTGGCAGGCCGCTCAGAGGGTCGCCAGATTTGATTTGTGGCTTGCTGTCCTGTTGTCTTTCACAGGTGGTGAAAGACATCTTCCCCTGCTGCTGGCATAAGTGTCAATTTATCATCATGCAGATCTAGTGATACAGCTAGAAACAGTGGTTTTGTTTTTCACTTTTACTTTGGAATACCAGGAGAGTGTGTTTGAAGCAAATGAAATGAAAATGTGTTCGTTTTACCATTTCTTGTTAAGTTATTTTGTAATTTGATCCATACTTGAGTATCCCAAATTGCTTTCTTGTTAACACAAGTTTTAAAAATGCTATGCATATATTCCTTAAGATATAATCATATACGTTTGCACACATAACTCACATATAGACTCTTCAACCATTCTTTTAAGTGTCTGAAGAATAGTTAGTGTGCTATTTGAGTTACACTGCCTCCTAAACCGTGACAGCTTCTAACAAATGCTCCTTTCTCCTTTGGCTCCTGATGTTCATGTTCTGCACAGAAGCCAGAGCAGTTATAAAAAGGAATTCA